CTTTCGGTGTCAGCAGCCACGCGTGAATTTCTCTCATCCTGACCTTGGCGAGCTCTATAGACCTCCACTCGCACTACCTCCCCTCCCAAGCTCAGATTGTGTCGTTGAACAACGCGATGGTACCTTTCGTTGTCAATCACGTGGCGAGCTTCCCTCTCCTCTACTGTTTCATTTTCCCTTCCTTGACTGTGCCAAACACTATCTTCTTCCTGCCGAGCTTCCCTCTCCTCTACTGTTTCATTTTCCCTTCTTTGACTGTGCCGAACTCTATCTTCTTCCTGCCGAGCTTCCCTCTCCTCTACTGTTTCATTTTCCCTCGCCAGACTGTGGCGAGCCCTATCTGCTACCAGTCGAGCCTCCCTGTTATCCTCAGACTGTGATTTTCGGGAGATTGCGTGCCACTCTCTGTCACGGGCCAAACGTTTTTCTCTTTTGACTTCAGACTGCCGGACTTTGAAGCGGGCCACACACGCTCCCGACTGGTGGAAGGTTGTTCCTGACCAACAAAGTATGTTTCTAATGAAGTGGAACTCGTGGATGCCTCATTTCCTCCAGTATTGCTTGAGGGGCCCGGCCTCACACCCTCAACCGATTCAGAGCCTTCATAATCTTTCGCAGACCAACACACCTTCATTCTTTTAGCATCCTTAGACACTCTGCTTAAGCTACTTTTCTTTTTTGATGTCAGGGTATTTATTACGTACAACACTTACTCCTACTTAAAAAGACTACAAAAAATAAACCATGTAACTGAATTTTTAAACTCCAAGGATAGTGTTCATAAAAAAGAAAAAAGATAAGAAAGAACGCAGTTCGCGAGTCCAGCGCAAAAGAGCAATGCCGAGTGGATGGGCGAGCGACCCTTAGCAAAGAAATACTTCTTTTAAAGAAATATAATCTTAAAAGCAAAAGAAATATAACCTTAAAAGCAATAAATAATACCAAAACATAAACAAAATAAAGCACAGACAGCTGGAGTGACGCAACAAATTTTTGCAGGAGTTGTTTTCTTTCCAACATAGAGATAATAAACATTGTTTTGAAAATTTTACATTGTATTCACTGTTACTATGGTAATCATTAAAACAAAAAAATGTCCATAAGAATAACATTGGTACTTTGAAGACCCGTGGGGCGGAGCCCTAAGGTGAATTCCAAAAATCCAAGTAGCCTATAACCTTCTCACGCATGTATAGAACAAAGAAAAAAAGATTCATCGAAATCAGTGCACCCGTTTCTCTGTGAAAAGCAACAAAATCACGTCCAAAACCGCACAAAAGCAGGTTTTTGAGCGGCCGCCATTTTCTTTCCAAAAGGCGTATGACAGTTTCAAGTAGCCTATAACCTTCTTACACATCCATAAAACAAAGAAAAAAGTTTCATCGAAAACGGTGCACTGGTTTTCCCGTGAAAAGTGAACAAAAACACGTCCGCGAGCATTACCGACAGACAGACAGAAATTGAGATAAGACTTGTTTCGGCTTCTCTGGTGTATGAAACGTGAAGATATGCAAAAAAGTACACTATTCTAAGCAATATACAGACAGAACTCTTATTTTATTTATATAGAGATAACCTAGAGAATACTTACTTGTACCCGTGAGAAGAAATCAAAGAACTTTTAGTCTTGAAGTAGTTGAAGACAAACTGAACTTGCTCCCCTGGAAGACCCTTGAAGACATACTGACAGTAAAGACTGGAAGGATAATTGGAAGGATATCTTGGAGAGTTGAAATCGCCAGTTTTACTGCTCTCACTTTTGTATATAAAATGGCAGGTTCTATTAGGAGATGGAGTACCAGGAACCCTATAATCTAGAAGAATAGAAAATGTTAAAATAACAGTTTTTCATGATTAGCGTTCTAAATTTATAGTATCGAAGAACAATCTTGTAAGTGATTTAAATTTATTTTCTAAGAAAAAAAAAATTAGAAGAACTGTCTTTTAAACGTACTAAATATGTATTCAATAACAATATGAAACAGGGTATCAATGTCTTGAAAATTAAAATAGGATAAAAAAACGTGCTTTTAGGAATATAAATCTGCTACTTAGTTTATGGTTAAATAAACAGTTTCATTATATAAAATATTCTGGAAAACATGAAAGTTAAAAAGGTTCCACAGTTCATACGCATATACATATATATTTTGATCTACTAACGAGTAGAGAAAAGACGATTAAGGAGTGAATCCACAGTTAAACTAGTTCGTGGATCACACGGACTGATTCATACAGTCTTGAGGAACCAAACATAATTCACACTAATGCTTTCATAGGAGAAAGAGGTCATTTGCACCTGATCCTACCAAATCTATAAGTCCTAAACACCGATGATTTGAAAATGTGGAAAAAGTGTTTTCATATCCTCTGGACATTAACAAAAATATGATGGACTTTCCTAAGGGGTACCTGAAGAAAGTTATGGGCTATATTATTTTCTGTCTACAGTATCCCTATTTATGTAATTTATTTTCGTATTCCAAGTAAGGTATCATGGTTTCACATGTACATTTTCTGAACAATATATTGTATATTTTAAAAAGATCACCAAGTTTACATATGTGTGTTTCAGAGCTGTAGCTACCTAAAGCAAAGACATGGATTCTGATTGTGAAAGAACAAAGCCTGAAGCGCATCCAAAAAGATCAAGAACAGATATACAAACATATATTATATCCCATGTTAAAATGTGTGAATTCATAGCAAGCGCTTTTAGGAGCAGCTGAATTACACAAGTTTGAACCAAGATTCAAGTTTAGTGTCCAAAGATCACCAAGACAGGTATGCATAAGTGATTCATGTTTAAAACCCAAGGACCACCAAGACAGGTATATATCAGTGATTAAAGTTTAAAGACCAAATACCATCAAGACAAGTACATATCAGCAAATCAAGTTTAGAGTCCACCAAGTTTAAAGTCCACCAAGACAGGTGATTCAAGTGTATATGACGAATATGTATGTTTTTGGCAAATATATATATAAAAGGATTCATATCATGAAAGTCGTTAATAAAGTACAACGAACTATGCTCAAATGATAGAACCCAGTCTCTGGCAATCGAAAGGTCAATAAAATGTTTTATTTTTTCTATTATAACACTAGTTGTAGCTGAAGTACGCTACTATAAATATTACTATATCAATTACACAAGACAAAGGCCTGCACCATTTGCACACACTGTTGAAAGTAATAATGTTGACTTGATCCACCTCAAATGAAAATATAACTGCTTATGACATGTTGTTTGATCACATCAGGAAAACTGTACTTCATGTTGTATCAATGGTTGAGCTGACTGAACAACTGATCTCTCAAAATATGGCAGTGAAGTCTGGACAGGTTTTCTGACATTCCCAGCTCTTCTTCCAAGATATTCGTGGCTGGACAGGAATAAAGATGGCAACTTGATTCATAGCTATTTATCCTGGAGCTAATGTGTAAATATACACGTGTCTGCCATCTTCCAGGCTGTCAGTGCCTTGCGAATGGACTCGTGTGTCAAGAAGCTTTTAAACGTATTCCAATATGAAAAATTAAGAGGAAGGTTCAACATATCGGAAAACTTCAGATTATGAGAATGTAGATAAGGATCATTATGGAGCTTAGTAACTGATATAATATAATGCTCAAACATGTACTCTAATTGCACCAACTTTATGCTGTGTCACATTTTTAAATTATCCATGTATCATGCAGCCGAAGGTTTGAATTGTAACGGTAGATTTAGTAGTATTGCACAATAGTAGACCGATTATTAATGATTTTGTTTGTTTGAAGTTAAGCACAAAGCTAAACAATTGGCTACCTGTGCTCTGCCCACCACGGGTATCGAAACCCGGTTTCTAGCGTTGTAAGTCCGCAGACATACCGCTGTGCCACTGGGGGGCATTATTAATGAAAATAGCAAAATGGTAACATCTTTCTTATTTTACTTTCAGTAGACATTGGTCGTTATATATTTTACCAGCGTATGTCATTAATAGATTTAGATATTGTTAAATACAACAAGTATAATAAAAAATATTTTTATACATACAAGTAGTGATCGATATTATTATTATTTTTAAATGATCCCTACTTTGGTAAATCACTGCAATTATGTTAGTATGAGCCACATTAGGGATAATTTTTATTTTATTTTAAGTAAATCAGTTTTTGTGGTTTTGTCTTTCTTGTTTCAATACTTTTTGTGGCATTAAAACTTTCTATATTACTATAGCTAATTAGGTTACATACATATCGACTCCTACTTATCTTTATAAAATTTAAGATTTTTGTATTGCGCTTGTTTGTTTCCTTTTTATTATCTCCACCACCTAAGGTGACGGATATTATGTTTCACTCCTCTGTGTGTGTGTTTCTCAGCAGTATTTCTCGAAAACGGCTGAATGGATTCGGACGAAAGCTGGTATAGATTTAAACAATGGCCCAACTTTGAAATGATTAGTTTTCGTAGGGACAAAGTCAAAGGTGAAGGTCACGAAATCCAAAAAAAATCCCTATCTGTTAACATGGGGATCAAATTTTTCGCACTATTTTTCCTCTATAACCGAGTCAAAAATGATCAGATTTTGATGAAACTTGGTGAACATATATAGAATATTATTCCTTATTGTTCTGCCTGTCCTGCCAAAAATGGTCCTTGTAAGTTGAATACTCATCAGGATCTCTACCAACCTACCCTCAAATCTAATTATGTGCGCAAAGTAGCGCATCGTCCGTTTTATATATATTTATATATACATATACTAGTATCCCTTTTGGTACAAGAAAGGAATCATCGGGATCCCACGCGGAAGAGTTCTGTGAAAGAATTAGAGTGATAAGAGTCGTCATTTTTTCTGTACGCTTGTCTGGAAAAGTAATTTACTTACATATTTAGATGAAAATTTGTTGAAATGGTGAAATTTTGATTCGCTCTGTAAACACGTATATGGCGATTTAGGCGGCTTTATGAGAACAATAAACTATAATTTTGCTCAGTCAATATTGCGAAATAGTCATTGTTAATATTCATACATTTTAAAGGTGGTTTTAGACGGGCAATTTTCATGGCCGCCATTTTGTTTCATCCCGATTCCTACTATTAAGTACTAACGTACTTAATGATTCATGACAAAGAAAAATTTGGTGAAGGATGAAAAGACGTATAGATCATTACATTAATTTACCATTACCATGTGACTTCCGGTCTCGAGTGTATGTCCCAGAAACATGAAATATAAAGATGATTAGTCATTTTATTAGCATGTAACTGACATTTAAAGTTGGAATTACACATTTTTACTTTTTTAACCGTAGGTCATTATGTGTTAATTACAGAGAAGAAATGTTATTTTAAACTCTCTAACCGTTACTGCAGTTTTCATCACATTTTCATAATACAAAAACAATCCCAAATCAAACATTTCACATATAAGAATAACATTTCTATGGTATTTTTATTCGAAACTTTAACAGAGCTAGTATAGCTCATTTTGCTCAGGTACAATGTCATTTTGATTTTAAATTTACTAGATGTATCATTATGTTTTATGTACATGTCATTTTATAATAAAAACCATTAAGTGGGATTCAAGACTGCTAATAAAATTACGTGAATTCTTGGTCCAAACTACCTTTTACAAATTCCATCTATCATTTTAAAGTGTACATATATGTTACCATCATATGTAGCTAATCAAATTTCACGATAAAGTCTGATACCAATCACTCTAAATCTACTCGAAGTCCATCAGCTAAACTCCATAAGAACACATAAGACTAGCTGTTAATGAGAGAGAGAATGTAATGTAATATATTTATATTGAAATAAATAAAGTACTTCTTTGTTGAAATTCCTACAAAATGAACTAATGTAAAGTATTTTAAGTATTATTTGATTCAAAATTGAAAGTTCTTGCAATGACTTTTCACTTTAGCATCTTATGACTGTATAAATCAATTACAGAGAGTGAAAAAAGGCACACACACTCACAAACGCATTACTTATATCAATGTGAATAACACTTATGTACTAAATAAAAAAAATTAAAAGCCCTTACCGGTTTCAAAGGTATATCTTGCTTTAAATCCTTTCCCTTGAGAAGAACCACTACTAAATATCAACATGAGTCGAGGGCCATCTGATACAAGAGTAGGAGGAGTCGTTTCACCACAGAACACGTGATCGTATTCGTCTACAGCATTCCTTTCCTCCTGACCCTGCAGGTAGAGCTTAAGATAGGCCTCGTTACACCTAATATGAGGAAAGATTTGAAATAAAAGAATTGTAGAGTAATGAAAATTAACATTAAGGCGTAGATAACATTAGTCTATGAATAATTATCCCTTTTCTTTTTCATATGTGTTTTGTTTATTTAAGACTTAACGTGAAATTATTCGACCCATAAAACATTTCGATTACAATATTGTAACTGGTGTTATTACAAATTAATTCCAGGGAAATTAGCAAAATTATTTTCTTGCAGCTTCAGATTTTTATTTTCATATTATAATAAAATACCATGTATAAAAAAATCGACTAAAAATGAATATTAAGATAAATAATAATAAAACATTGATTAGTGTACAATCGCTTCTTAAGTTAAAAAATAAAAACAATAACAACACTAAACAAGCACCAAATCCATTCAAATCTTGAATATTAAACATTTTCATTAATCAATCAATATTTCTAATAAATATTTCGCAGTGTTCCTTCTTAAAGGATGAGTTTGTTTGTTTGTTTGAAATTAAGCACAAAGCTACACAATGTGCTATCTGTGTTTCTAGCGTTGTAAGCCCGCAGACATACCGCTGTGCCACTGGGGGGCCTTAAGGGATGAGAAACAATACAAAATGTTAACGAAATATGTTCATATAATTTGATATCTATTGAGCATTATTTTTCGTTAGCGCTTTCTGGTGCTGAAATGACAGTTGTAATTTATATAGTTTACGATCTGACATACTGAAATTTAGCAAACGTTTAGATTTTTCAGAAACCTAGAGGCCTGGAATGACCTGATGGTTAGGGTGCTCGATGTACAACCTGAGGGATGCAGGATCGAACCCCGTTTTCGAACATGCTTATCTTTTCAGCCGTGGGGGCGTTGTAATGTAATGTTCAATCCCACTATTCTTTGGTAAAGAGCAGTCCAAGAATTGGCGGTGGGTGATGTTGATTAGCTGCCTATCTAGTCTACCACTTTAAATTTAGGGACGTCTAACGCAGATTGCCCTGGAACAACTTTGTGTGAAATTCAACAAACAAACAAATTTGAAAACTAGGTTTAATCTTTCAAAACAAACTGCCAATCTATACTATTCACCTATTTAAAAACTATTAAACTAATTTAGAACTTAAAAGGTATATCTTTCATCGTTTTAGTGCAAATGTTGTATTTGTATGAAGCATTTACAAGAGAAAACTCAAACTGATATCATAGAACACTGAGCTGCTGTTGTCAGCTAAACAGAATACAATACTTCGCAGACAAACAACTGAAAACTGAGAATGTTGGACAAAAATTTGCTAAAATAATGTCCTCTGGTAAATTACAACCATCAGATGTAAAGAGTATGAAGTAAAATGTGATATTATAAAAAATAATTATTACTTAGACAGTATATAAACTTTGATGTATCTGAGCTTGATACTAAAGGGACTAAACAGGCTTAGTAACAACTTATTAGTAAATGTCTCAAGAACTTTTCGGTAACAAAGTTATATCAACTTGCTTTAGTTTAATCAGCATTCATTCAGTAAAGGTATTTTTACAGACAAGAAAAATATATGAATACCTATTAGACTTACCCATGGTTAAACAACAATATCATCAAAATACGTATCCACCTACAAGTATTCAGAGTATAGTTTAATACATTAATATACTTTCCCATCATGAATCTAGGTATGTTAAAGATAATTGATTCTCTGTGTTAGGAACTCGAATTTCCTTAATGCCACGAACGTCCATGACTAGACAGGAGCCACTGTATGAATACAAATTAATGCTCTACAGAAACTTTGCTTTCAAAGTTATGAACTAGAAATAAACTTTTTAGATTAATAAATCTCTCTGCACACTTATTAAAATTTATCTTTGAAACTAAAAACTAAAATGTAGCAGAAACGTTTTACAGGTCTATAAACCAAGTCTGGCAGTTTTATGCGTAACTTCACTTTTAATCATTCAAGTAAACTTATAATTCATGTTCTAGTTATCTCTTTTACCAACACCGAAAAGTACGCTTTTATAAAACATATTGAGAAAATAACGTTAGACGTATGTATTGCTTTTTCTGTAAACAATAACATATGTTTCTCCATTGAAAAAAATAAAAACAATATACCAGATCAGAATCTGCAGTCCCAAAGATGTTGTATAATTTGTTATTCTTCCCATAGGAGAACATTCAAAAATTAAACCAAGTACTGTTTTCGAATCATCGGTTCACATCGCTTCGAGCGAAAGATATTTTGCCTAATCCTGTGTATTCATAGGTTTACAAATACCCTTACAGTAACTACAGAACTTACACACGTCGATAAAGTAGTATATTAATATAAGAATGGACACCGTTGAAAATAAAAAAAAAATTCTAGAAACCAGTTGGTTAGCTATTTTCGGATCTTCGCTCAAAGCTACTCAATTTCTGTCTACGCTAGCCTTTCAATTTTGAACTGACATATTAGAGAGAAGGCAGCTAGTCAACAGAACTCTTCATCAGCTCTTTTCTACGGTCTTCTGGCCGAATAGTGGGATTTGACTGTCACCTTTATAACATACCCACGGCCTCAAAGTGCAGAGCGCGTTTTTTTTTCTTTTCTTATTTTTTTCGCGGTAATGGGACGCAAATGCTAGACCCTCAGTTAAGTTGTATTTTGCCCCCCAGTGGCACAGCGGAATGTCTGCGGACTTAGAACGCTAAAAATCGGGTTTCGATACTCGTGGTGGGCAGAGCACAGATAGCCCATTGTGTAGCTTTGTAAGCTCATGTTGGTTAGAAAAAAAATTACCCATTGCGAAAATAGCTTTTTTTTCGGTTTACTCTTCTGAACAATATCATTAGTCAAAAAAGACGATGATTTAGCCTATTTTTTGCTTCAATGGAAAACTCGCTGCTCCAAATCGATAGATCGAAATTGCCGACGACTGCTTCAACGACATGCAATTCTAGTTCGGAATGGAACCTTTATCTTACAAAAGTAAAAGGCCTAGATTGTTAAATTGAATCAGAGACGTGGGGGAAAGCAGCCATAAAGTGTATTGGTAAGTATTAATAATGCAACAAATGGTAGAAGAAAACGACCACGGCTAAATTACAAGGAGAATATTGTGAATATCAATGATAAAGTTGTACATAATGAAAATGACAATATGGATTTTATTGATAATGACGTTTTGGCCTTCTTTAGAGATAGTGATGGTGAAGGAGATGATGACAAAGAAAGTGAATACGCTACGAAAGAATGTAAACATGTATATGATGTCAGAAATGTTTCCGGAATAGATTATTCTTCGACAAGAGATTTACCATGTTGAAAATCATGTGAGAGTGAATCCTTTATTTCTATTGATAAAGCAGGTCGTGTAATTACCTTCACAATTTCAGTACTGAAGAAAATGTGTTCTTTTATCTTACTCAATGATGCAGACAAATTATTGTTTAATATAGGATAGAAAATATATCCAGTAACAAGATAAAGAAAAATATCATTGAAGTACAATCAAAACTGTCGCTACTTTCTATCCAGTGAAGGGTGTTATTAGCTCCATTGTGTGCTGTTTCTGTAAATTCGATATCAGAACCTAATAGACTATCTGACAATTTATCCTGATACAATATCTTGTAAACGCATTCCAAATGAGGCTCTTTACAATTACAATACTAGTTATCTAACATTCCTAATATATACAGCTAATATCCGTTGATACATCAATCTTTATGTAACCATAACGCCATCTATAGTTAATATTTTCCTCTATAAAAAGCTGTGAAATTCTTATCATTAATACTCTCGTTTCGTATCGTTCCTGCAGTCGAATTCCAAGATCGACTTTTCGTGATCCTACCCCTAGTACAAAATGTTACCCAATTTGCCCGTATGACAGGTGTTAGAATTATGAATAAGAACTGCTAAATAAAAGTAAAGGAGAGTGTATACTTGTATATCAACTACACCATATCTGCCACATCAGTACCCACGAGGCCTTTCGTCTAATACCAAAGTTTATCATGACGGCTGAGATACGACAGATATAGTAGTGGTATTTCTATTAGTAAATTGTTAGAGAACAATCATTATTGTATGAATTGGATTAATTAAGTTGAAGAGAAATTTTTCTTCAGTTTTATTTTTATCTAATCTTTAATGAGCCAACGTTAAAAAATAACTCGAGTAATTTTGATCTATCTTCGTTTTAAATATGTAATGTTTTTATTTATTCATTTTCTATGTATATTTTGCACATTGTAACGTACAGGTAACAAGTCAATTGTTGTTACTTAATATACATACATATTCATACTTACAGGTAATAGTCTAAATAAACCACAGAACTACTTCTGCGGGTTCCTCAATTGAACAATGTTACTTCTAGGTAACGTATCCATTTATAACTTACCAAAATATATTTCAGAAAATTTTTTTGTGTGCAATATAGACCTACTTAAGTACAAAATTCATAGAATAATTTTTTCCAAAGTATTTTTATAATACGTGCAATAGAGGGCTAATCTTACGTCATTCTATACGAAAATGGCGCCCAACCGGTAATGACAGTCTAATTTAAAGTAACTTATTAGAATAGAATAACATAATATTTGAACGACCGTTTAGTGCATTGGATTAACTTATAAACTGATGACGACTCCTAGAGGATTAATTTTAAATTATCACATACTCCTCGTCCTTGCTAGGGATTTCAAACTTGTCAAACTCCAGCCTGACTTTCTCCAAGTACTGGGCGTCCTTCATGCCATAGATATAGTAACGACAAACAATGTTAGCGTAGTAGAGAAATGGCCAGTTAGGAGAGAAGACTGTTCCGTTAGATTCCTGCTTACTTAGTATTTTCTGATCACATTCTATAGGTAATAAAAGTTAACTAATCAAATAATGTGAAACAGAAAAGTCTAATTGAGAAACACTTGTATATATTTGTATAATTTTACTTTGAGAAAGACTAACCTCTTTTTTCAGCCACAACATTTTTATACATCTAAGTACATTTTATATCATGCTATAAAAAAAAACCCTACATTCTGCTAACAAATCATAAGTTTAGTTTACTTGATAACATTTAAGCCCGTGTATTACATTTCCTATTATACAAACGTTCTGCCAGCAAACGAGGCTGAACGCTTACTTTTTAATTTATTTTTCCTGAAATAAACCGGAAAGTTAGTTTTGTTATTTTGTAGTTTCATGCATAAACATCGAAAGCAATGCTATATACTTTATGTAAGTTCACACTGTGCATGCAAAGAAAATACATTTAGCAAGCCAAGTAATTATTAGAGCAATTACAATTGTATTATGTGTAAAAGTGACAGCCAATTATATATCAACATAGACCCGAATATATCTTACAAGTCAATCAAATTATCACTACAGTTCCCTGCAAAATCATATTATCCAATGACATTTTCATTGTAGTCTCAAGTGAAGCAAAGCTATCCAATAAATATTTTTAACCAACGTTAACTAAGTATATTAAAAAGAAAATTCAGCATAATTAAAAATATAATAAAAACACGTTTTTCAATTACAACATATCAAAAACATAACAAAACCAAATGGAAAAATAATAACACTCAAGTGATATTAATTCAATATATTAGTTCAAAGTGTATATTATGATTAGTCGTAATAAGAACGAAATTTTGACTACTGTTTATTTACTTTTATAGAGGAAGTGTACTTTACAAATACAAAAATTCACATTCATTAATTTTCTACAAAGATAAAGTATATACACTGTACTTTACCTGTCCCTCTAATGTGTTGAGCATCATACTTTCCTATGAAAGCTGTGGTAAAAAAAGAAGCAAATATTAGGTAAAAAGTATATAATCTATCTACCTTGTTTATTAACGCTAACGCTTACTCTAATGTATACGTGTTTCTATCTATGTATGTGACTGAATTTCACCACAAACAAAAATCCATAAAAAAATTCACACTTTTCCTATTGAAGATTCAGACAATGAGAAAAATAACTGTGGTATGTGCAACAACCATTTCTTTATTACAGAACACAATTTTAAATATAAGTACTCTCTTCACAACAAGAACACGACATTCACTAGGACTGTACGGGAAAGTTTGATTATATCTTTGTTGATGTAATTTCTACATATAGTACTAAAAAAAATGGAGTTCCTAACCTACTAGTATAAGAAACTTACTAATCACGTGATGTAAGGAACGAAATTATTCATCCAATCATCCCTTCTTGATTTGACTAGGAAATTCACAATTAAAATAATAACAGAAATATAAGCAAAGCTAATATATGAGTTTAATTACCTAGATTCACAAAACCTTCGCTAAATTCAAAGAATCCAGAAAACCCGCGGTTCTGAGTATCGGCTGTTCTTCTCAACGTATTAAACTCCACATACAGATTCTCGGCGGACGAATATACCATGAGATTACGCCTCTGCCCGCAGTAAGTCCCAATCAGTGGATCATTTTTCGTTTTGCCATCAAATACCTTCACGTGGTCGAAGGGGCAGCTGAAGACATGGAAAACAAAAAGGTGTGTAAGGAATTCTTAAAAAATACCTCTGTGTATAGTAAGATTAGTGTTATTTAATTATTAGATCAAGTCGTTAATTAATCAAATAATAAGAACTCTAGAATAAAGCAACTGCTGATTAACTGCATTCGAATGTGAAGCTTAGGGCGTTTATTAATTAAGTAAACCCCAGAGATAGAGTAGCGCGTACATAGTCCTACAATGACTTATCACTTCAGGTTCACGCAGGGATCTTAAAAAAAAAGCTCCACTGTGTTAATTTAAGGTTGATATAACTCAGCTAAGGAAGAAATTATGTCGTTAATAATAAACATATTAGATTATGTCGTTAATAATAAACATATTAGATTATGTCGTTAATAATAAACACATTAGATTATGTCGTTAATAATAAACACATTATGTCATTCGTTGTTTGCTTGCATATCTCGTGAAGTTTCTAACACTTCGCTGACGTCAAAATTGTTCTTTATGTAACGGATAAAAAGTAAAGCCGATTTTTTTTCTTTGTAACAACTTTGAATCAGAGCGTTTTCTTAGCCGGTCAATAGCTCTTCTAGTTAGCTGATAAGTATTTCGTTTATTTTAGAAATAAAGTAAGAAATGTTTTTAATGTTTCGTAATATCGATTTCACATATAGTAAGAAAACTACATGTTATGCTTCTCCATAGCTTTTAGTGTTTCAGCAGAAAGTGATATCGCAAGATAGAGCACGCAATAGAAATAGTTTTGGATCAAATTTATTTAATTAAAAAAAACAAACTGAAATGATTTTTTTTTTAGACTTAATAATCGAGATTTCAAGGAATATTGAAAGAGAAGGAAGAATTTATATCCCTAATATAAGACTGAAATATGATTAGAATAAAACAATACATCGAAACAAAAAACTTTCTAAAAAGAATCTTAGCTTACTGAGGGCCTCCGTAGAACAAGTCAAAGTCCATAAATTCAAGTCGAACTCTTTGACCTGCTCTGCCAAGAAAGCGATATTGGCAGTGGAGGTTTTTAGGATATACCCCAGGGTAAGTTGGAGAAACAAAAAGTCCTTCTTTTTTTCTGTCGTGATATACTGTAAAAGTACATATAGAGCTGGGTGCTGGTGTTCCGATTGAATACTTGGCTAAAAGAAAGTTTTTTTTTTATATAAGTTTCAGGTTACAAAATTAAATAACGGAAGGAATATTAAAAATGTAATTTCTCTAGTTTAATAGGTTAAATACTAAACATATATCCCTACCTTAAACTTCAATTTCCTTGGATACTGAGGTTTAAAGACATTCGCCTTTAAAAATGAAACTACATGGTTATCCAACAAAAGGTGAAACTTCTTTTTTTTACTAATTCTGACTTCTGATTTGTCTTAAATAACCTTCTATAAAATGAGTCTAAGAGACAAAAGATAAACTGTGAGACCGACTGGTAGATATGTATATACAAGAGTCAAACTAATATTTAACAAACGAAAAAAAACAACAACAAAAACAGTGTAAATGTACCAGACAAACATTTATTTATAAATATAACTTAATGTATCAGGGGTCAATGTCATGCTAATTATTTTCAATATCAAAGATAGCTTTAAGTCATTTTACTGTTGCTAAACTATACTAGGTAATATAATTAGAACACAGTATATAACAAAGTTAATAAACGGAACAAATTTCATTAGTATGCAGTAACACTATATGATTAACACATGGTACAGAAGATAATAAACACAATTTAGAAATATATATATATTACATTTCACACAGTACAGAATATAATAGCAGACAATACAGAATATAATTAGCAAACAGTGCACAATAAGGTTAATCGATGCAGGAAATGGTTTGCACTAAAACCGACCTAGTGTTAATATAAAGGAGTGAATATAAATTGAGCAAAATACACGATATGGTTAACACGTGGCTCAGAATCTAATAATACATAATATATGATATGGTTAATACATGGTACAAAATCTACTAGCATACTCTACACGATATGATTAACACGTGGTACATACAGTACGCGATATGGTTAACACGTGGCTCAGAATCTAATGATACATAATATATGATATGGTTTAATACACGGTATAAAATCTAATATCACACACTACACGATATGATTAACACATGGTACATAATCTAATAGCACACTCTACATGATATGATCAACACATGGTACACAATGTAATTGCACGCACTACACGATATGGTTAACAAATAGTGCATAAGCTAATAAAACACAGTGTTTGGCACACGGTACAGAGGATGGTACATACTCTAAAGAGAGAATACAATTATTACGTTTTACAATCATCTGATTGTTGAAAAAAAAATGCTATATTTCCAAAGTTCATGAAGTAAGACGCACAGACCTACTTACAAGCATTAACAAACTCGTACGTTCCTTGGAAAGCATTTGGTGTTACCGTACTGGCATCACTATAGAAACTGATGGTAAGTGTTTGGTACATAGAGATACGGGTACGTGGTAACGTCTTGCCACAGTAACGCCCTCCAAAGGGGGTTTCAATAAGTTCCTTTACAGGATCGTCGATCTCCGTGTATAAATCAATAAATTCGTGATTGCATCTTGAAAAAAGAAATCAGATTTGTAGATGCACTTTTATTATTTTTAAGTCTTATGACGATATTTTTTAACCTATTAGTATTTTGTTATCTTTTGTCTTTACATTATTCCCGTTTATTACAACACACACACACACACTCACTCCTCTCCCCACTGGCTCAGCGGGTTGTCTGCTAAAAATCGGATTTCGATACTCGTGGTGAGCGCAGCACAGATAGCTCATTGTTTAGTTTTGTGTTTAACAACAAACAAATAAACAAACTTATTACAACTTTGGGATAAATTAATTTTTTGTGTATATTCTGTAATTTTCATGTGTTTTTTTTTCTTATAATGTTTTAGTAAGTTTGATCTAGTAATGCTTGCATATTTTTGAAACATTTCTATACATTTTGTTATATTTTTTATTTGTATGAACGTCAGATTTACTGATGGTGTCCAGAAAACATCTGCTTTTTGAACTTTGTTTGAACTGTTTACGCATCAAGTTGCTTGTGGGTTCATGATTTTGTTGGTTACAGGCCCTTAATAACGTGAGTAACACATGTAAACAAAAACACCGTCAATATCTTGATTAATCCAACTAACTACTGCTGAGATCATCTATGTATTTTATCTCGAAAATAATGATTTCATTGAATTTTTATGGTGAGTTATCTACATTGATTATTGTAACAGGTGAAAAACAAGATTGTTCAACATGATGCAACATGGACCCCGGCTCTAGTGAATGTGTAAAAAATAATTCGATAAAACAAACTCAATATTAGTAATTAATATCTTATTTAAATATATATATATATTAGATATTTAATGCATAGTCTATTTTCATAAACAAAACTCAATAATAGTACAGATTAACTGTTTGTTTGTTGTTAAACGAAATATACGTAATGGGCTATCTGTGTTGTCCCCACCACGGTTATCGAAACGTGGCTTTTAGCGTTGTAAGCATACGGATGAGCTACTGGGTGAACAGAGATTAATAATATTTAAAAATAAAGCTTTTAAAGCAAGATTTTTTAAATAGTTACTAAAGATGTTAGGTGATTTATGTTAGGTGACTTATGTTAGGTGATTTATGTTAGGTGATTTATGTTAGGTGACTTATGTTAGGTGATTTATGTTAGGTGACTTATGTTAGGTGATTTATGTTAGGTGACGTATGTTAGGTGATTTATGTTAGGTGACTTATGTTAGGTGATTTATGTTAGGTGACTTATGTTAGGTGATTTATGTTAGGTGATTTAATTAAACGTACCCAATAACTTTTCCCCCGATAATTATTGGAGAGTGTTTGAAATTTTATTTATGTTTACAGACTAATTGAAAGAAATTTTTAAGAGTAAATCATCAAATCTTTTTTCTATAAAATATATAAATTAACAAAAAAAAAAACAAAAAAAAGTAGCTCACTCGGGTGGCGCTCCTCGAAGGTTAAACTTGTTAAATGTTATTTTAACCCTTTCGTCCTCAGCCGCTATGAAAACGTAGATACACTGACGAGAGTGGTTCATGAGATTTGATACGACTGGCGATTCGAAAGTTCCATTCTTTGTGTCTACACTGTTACTGACGAACAAGCGATCGCATTCTGAAAAATAGACGTTACACTAATCAAAAATATATCGAACTTCAACAAATCCTAGAAAAATGTTTGGAAACTGTTCTCCGCGATATAAAGCCTGCTTCATCCAAACTTGAATATCTGTTGCCAACAATGGCATCGTGTCTGTGAATTCAATTTCTAACTTACATCTAGCATATCCAGTTTTTGATAACTCTAAAAAAAACAAGTTTCCAATATTATCAACCGTAGTAATTCTGATTCATTCAAAACCAAATAAAATAAGTCACTACTTCCCCATACAGAAATCCTCCCAAATCTACAACTAAATGATCTTCAAAATTATGGATCCCTTGAGTAGATGATTAATCTATGCTGTAAATTTACTGAAGCTCAGCAGAGAGATTCATCTTCAATCATATAATTTTAACATGTTAGAGCACAAACATAATCAGAGTTGTGCTTATATTATGTTAGGATCTAAACACAATGTGTTTAATATTGTTAACGTACTAGGACACAGACACGATCTACGTCGCATTGTTAATGGAACAGGGTGGAAACAACGTATCTGATTTTGTTAATAATGGGATGCAATTTCTAGTTATCTATATCGCTAACACTCAAGTGTACCCGATCCCTA